TGAGTATTCCTTTATGTCATGAAATTTATTCGATAACGCGATTATTGTCTCATACTTTTTTTTTACACACTTGCCATGTAACGTAAAAATGTAGCAACGTGAAAACAAAAATATGTAGAATCTTCGCAATGTTATTTTTATTTAATAGCTCTTGTTTCAAAATTCTCCTTGAAATTTTCTTCAAGTTATCGTTAATTGTATGGGTTTATTTAAATTATATTTTCTTTTATGCGCAAACGACACGATCTTCAACACATCAGTACTCAAAATTGAACGGAATCTTTTCTAAGCTGTCGTTTGTGCTTAAATTAAAGCCTAAATATGAACAAAGATGTTAAAAAGACAAGGCCGATGTATCATTGGAATCACAAAGAACTGAGGGAGGAAAGAAGAATAAAGAAATTGAGACAAAGTGGAAAACACCAAGAGAGAAAAAGAATTAAACAAGCGGATGATCACGGGCGTAACGTACACATAACGGGGGTGATCGGGGGTGGTCACACGTGAGACGATGCACAAACACCCAGATAAAATGCACACGCACACTCGCACACTTACATACATTTAGATGCAAGACTATGATGTGACGGGCGTCATTTGTGAGACTCGAACTCGGTCGGACAGGTGATAGTGACGCGATACGTTAAACGACATAGTAACGGTGATAAAGAAGAGGAAGAGAAAGTAGAAATCGCAGTAGTAATAGTAATAGTAGTAGTAGTAGTAGTAGTAGTAGTAGTAGTAGTAGTAGTAGTAGTAGTGGTAGCATTAAAAATGGAATCGCGCAGATTGGTGTGACGAGCGAATGGAGAGGTACAAAGACAAACAAACAGACGGACGAGCGAAATGATGGCCGAGAGAAGCAAAGAAACGTTTATACTCACGGCTGCCGCGTCTCTTGTCGCTGGAGAGGCTCATGGTCCTGCTGAGCTCGCCCTTGACTGCTTTAAGGGACCGCAGACCCTCCAGGATCTCCTCCGGGTCCCTCATAGGCCTGGTGAACGAGCTCCGTCGTCGATCGCGATTGTAATACATTACGGCGGTCGCATCGACTTCGCCCATACTTCCACCTGTGCAAGTGTTTCATCGATTAGGCCTTTAAATGATGAATTTGACGGATCAGATTACGACGTTGGAGATCCGTAGCATCTTCTATTCATAGCCCGTGAACTGGAGCGTAACTAATGCGAGAATATTGAATTTCAGAAGGTCGTCCTCGCTCGATACGATAATTAAATAGGTATTATATTACGCGGGTGTGATTTCTATTAAAGAAACGATGCTTATAACGCTGTCATCCCTCAGCTCGTTTGACGCTACTTAAACGTTGGCGCTCGCCGGCTATCGCGCATAGCTCGCCGTGCATCGATTTTTGCTGTTTACAGCGTTACACGGGCGCCCCGTGAAGCGACGGTAATCGAATAGCTAGTGATAATCGAGGAAGCTGTTACTTTAAGTGTGCCAAGAGTTTGCAAGAAGCACACTCGAGACCACCCAACAATAGCGCATCGCGCGGCTAGCCACTGTCGTTAACATCCTTGAGACGTATTTGAAAAGGAGGAGAAGACTGAGAGCCGGTTGACTAGGGCGAGCAGCCAGCTTGCGGCGGGAAAGCGGGACGAAATTTATTAGGTCGAGTGTCCGCGAGCCACATCGAAAGTTTCGATAAGAGGGTCTTTGGAAAACGTGCTTCCCGAGCTTCTGACTTTCTCCGGGTTTTCCTTCTGTTTCCTCTTACTTGTGTGTATCGAGCTTCTCGCTTGACGGAATCACCATTACCGGATGAAATTACTTGTTACTTTGAATTCGGAAGTATACCGAAAATAAGCCATAGAAAAAAATGTAATGATTTCCTAACGCCAACTATATATATCGTATATTCGATAAATGAAATTGAAATTAAGATTTCAATTTAAACTTGAGACTTTGTTGTCGCTTATTATTCTCCGGTCGTACGACCACGCTGATTATTATCGTAAAGCGCCTCAACTAACAGCGCCTTTATTCTCTCTCGCTCGCAAGATCACACTCTTGCGACTCGACTTTGACGTTAAATATTCCTTTAATTAAGAGCTCTCGTATTAATTCCCGCGGAAGAAGGAACTGAATGAAAATTGCTCGAAGGAACAAAATCCCCTTACTGACGCGTCGTTACGTTTCCGCTTCGGCGATTTGTCTCGCGTGGAGGAAAATGACCCGTCTCGAATCTCTGCCCGAATCTCTGACACTCACGTTTGCTATCAGTGCCGGCCTGACTTTGGAAGCTGCTCCTGCGGCTACCCGGCAGGGATCTGCTGTAATCCCGGTTGAGCTCGTACGGCTCGACCTCGAGCTGCTCGGACTGGCTGGAACCGCGTCTAGAGTTGGCGTGCCAAGCGTGGTCCGGGTGTAGATATCCAAATTCTGGACTGCCACTGTCGCTCTGCGTGTCGTCGCTGTAGCTACGATCGCGCAGTTCTTTTCTCAGCAACCTCTGCGCGACGTCCATCGACAGCGAGCCACGCGGTGAACAGTACGGCGATTTTCCCATTCGAAGTCCGCGCGGATCTTCCAGACGATACCTGAAATTTCACGCGGGTATACATACATAATGCTATACTTTAATATGTGAATGATAGTAAGAGAAACATTGCAAATATTCGACAACAGAAAGAAGAAGAGTGCGTAATATCGGATATCTGAAAATTGTATTCCCGCGAAGTCTCTCACACGTAATAAAGTCATGTTGTAGGCTGTTGAAAATTACTTTCCGTCGATTTACGGTAATTCCCATACTATATATCGCAGTTTGCAGTCAGCATTTCATCGGGTAGTTCTGTCGTAATAGTAACGTCAGCCAAATTGCGGCAATTGTGCCTCCCGAGCATCTAAGGGGACGAAGAGTCCTTCAATTCTTCTTGTCCTTTGAAAAATGCACTTACCAGACCGCTCTCTCATTTTCGAGCGCTCGCTGGACATTGATGGTGCATTCACCAAGGAACACATTATCGCCATCAGGACAATAATCCCAGAGAGTCACCTCGATCGCACGTTCCATCAGGCTTTCGCCGGGAACTCCGGTGAAGAACAATGTAGCGTTCCAGATAGGTTTCTGGGTCGGCTCGGCCACTATGGTCCTCAGTGGAGTTGGATCGCCGCTGTAAAGGCAACTGGTGATCAATCATTTCAGTATGGACAGTGTCGCAGCGCGACTTATGGATATGCAGGAAATTAATTCGGACGCGCGAAGCTCTCGAAGGAAATATAAAAAGGAGAGCGGAGAGGAAAGGAAAGATAAATGGATTAATCGTTTGTGTGAAACTGCTCTTCAGCATTATACGACTGTGCAAAGGCTGCCATCGAATTCTGCACACGGATTTTCTTAGTATCGCGCGGCAAATTTACGACTGTTATTTCTCCTCGGCGCGTAATAAATTTAGCGGGAGATCGGGATTCGATTTCGTTTCGACCAACACGTCCAGCGTAAGATATATCCAACCGGGGAGTATATCCACGGGGATGACCATAGACTTACCAGGGTGGCACAAGGACGAGCTTGGCAAAAGCCTCCGGCAAGGTGCCGAATCCAGTGTCTTCCCGGGCGCACAAGTCGTCGGCCATAAAAAACGAGACGACCAATTCTTTGCGTTCCGCCTCGTACGAAACCTGGATCTGTATGCGACCGCTCACCTGCCTCTCCTTCGCTATTTGCTCCTAAAATATCGGATGCTAGTTTTAAGCTCCTCCGCGCTACGTGACCTGACTTGGTCCGAAGTTACTGCACCGGCGGGTGATAACGGACGTTCCTCTCTTCCATAATTTCGACAAAGCTATCGCGAAATCGCTGAAGCGAACAGACTGATAAAAGTTGTTGTCACAGTGAACAGTTATTCAAAAGCATTTGCGCGCTTTTGAGCGCAAAGATATAACATTAATGGAAATAATGGAGAAAATTATTAAAATATTCTTTATGACGCAACATCAATATATGACAGAATATCAGGTTTATTCATTCATTTGGGAATATCGAATAAATCGAATAATCCGAGATCAGAAAATATATTCACTAATTAATTGAATGAAAACCGTGTTTGAAATTAAATATAAAGATTACATGTAGTTAGAGAATATTAAAATAGTTGAATATTAGATAATCCTGAAATAAATCTTTCTTTCTGAACATGAAGAAAACGGTAGTGGGTAACAATTTGTAATAAGAAAGACAACAACTTGTACAGAGAGTTATATCTCGAGATACTCTCTTCGTCCTCCAAGTTCAAGGAAATTTGCACGGTTAATGGAAAACAGAAATTTCGATTCGGAAAGCATCTAGCTATAGATACTTAAGCTCCTCACGTCTTTTAATGGAACCTTCGTGCCCCACTCGCCGGTAACCCACAGCCGGTGAAGAGCCGGAAGCAAAGTTAATTTTGCATGCACAAGCGGTTTCACGGTGGAGTTTTGTTTGGAGGAGATAAAACGAAGAAAAAAAGGAAGAAGAAGAAGAAGAAGAAGATGAAGAAGAAGAAGAAAAAGAAGAAGAAGAAGAAGAAGAAGAAGAAGAAGAATGGGCAAACTAAGAGCAGTCCTCGAGGTTCAGCTTTATTCGTGTCAAAACTCATTCCGTGTCGTAGCATAGCAATTATAGATGTGTAATCGTGTGTGCATAGGGGTGTAGTCCTAGAAAAGACTCCCGGATTTCCTCCGAGTCTAATTTCTATTTCTTGAGAATCGTTTTTCCAGCGTGGAAATATATTTGCGGAAGAAGTGCTCATTAATGACGAAATGAAAGAACACATACAAATGTCAAAGTATTTTTAATTATGTCTAATTATAGCGATGGTTCTATATTGTTTATTGCATAACGATCAACAATAAATTGCCCGAAAGAGTATAACAAGAAAAATACGAATTAGAGCACGTTATCCTCGCCGTTTTAAGCGTTTAACGTCGGGAAGACATATTATCGGACTACAACCCTAAGCGTGCGATACAGCCAAGAAAAACGTTCGTTTAAGCGGGCCTTATCCTTCCGTTAATTCTCATTAATCTCTCTCTCTCTCTCTCTTTTTTCTTTTATCGCTACGATCGACGATTTATATCTCCTCCTCTCGGTCCTCTTCGCCTCTCCTCGTATTCTCTTCCAGTTTCCACAGCATCTCTTACATCTTCTCCGCATCGCATCCTTGCCCGTCTCCGTGTCTCGTCGTAGCCGCGAAAACATAAATCGTCCAAATTTTTTTTTTTTTTTTCTTTTCACGTACGGTTTTCCCAGACTGTAAGCTGTTCGCTACGTATTTACATATGCATTTACTGAGAGAGTTTCATTCTACGCAAGCAAACACACGTGTGTGTCGTCGCAACGCGCTTCTTCGACTGCAACAAGTCACGCTGCAGTGATGAGCATATTGAAGATCATAAGTCACCGGAATTTCATCGTTTGTTTTAACGCTGCAACATCTAAGACGAAATGCCGCGTTCTATTCTCAGCTCAAAACTTTTTAGTGTTCATTTTAGCTTTTTATATTATTCCCGACAGGCAGCGGCAGTTTTAAAACTGGGAGTAATTTTAAAGTGCGTCACACCTCAAAAGTTGGATTTCCATTTCACATGTTTGAAATACACAGATTTTGCATAGAATTTAACTGACAATGAAACTGTCAGGAAAATTACAATTTCATTGCTGAAGTAAAATTCGTTAGTATTCGCACAAAGTTTGCAAATTTACATTAATGGATGAGTATGTGTTGTATATTATCTTTTACATGCGCGTGTACGAATAATATGGCACAAAAAGATACTTAACAATCGGCCGATATTGTGCTCGGAAATGATTTTCACGGGCGATCTTTGTCAGTAACGGATGCAGTCGGTAATGGAAATGGAAAAGTTATCGCGGATAAAAGCGAAAGGGTGAGAGAATCTTTTTATCCCGATTTAAAGTAGAAAGTGAAAAATGAATTTTAATGAAGACGGCGATGAGATTCCAAGAAGAAATCACGGCGAAAGCAATTTAACTGCCAACTTTGTTATCCTCACAATTTCAAATAGTTTTATATGTCAAGATAGGCTCGTCGCGTCGTACAAACGTTGCCGCTGAATAATCATCGATACGACGACGTAAGATTCATAGAAATTGCATCACTTTGATATAATACATTAATATCATGCTATTTACGATCATGTAAAAATTATCAATATGCAAATAATATTCATTATTTTATTACGAGTTCAGGTAATCAGACGGTAACATCAATAATTATTCGCACAATTATTACACACATTCCTTATTCATAACGTTCCCTTTGCAAACTTTGCAAACTTCAAGCATCATCGCTGCGACAACTACTGTCTACTTCATGATCTTCACATGCGCACAGATCTTGTTGAAGCCAAAGAAGGACAACGCGACAAGCGTTCATGTACAATGTCAGTCTGCAATTGTTTCCAGAGCGCGCGCCTTTCCCCGGTATAACGTGCGGATGATTTCGCGACAACAATATTCCGCAATGTTCTTTTCCCTCCTCTCGGGAAATTTATCCGTCATACTCGCCATCGGATCGCCGTAAATCCGCATTCGTCTCGTGTATACCAGGGAAAGGTACGACGTGACAACCAAACGCCCGCGTTTCCATCCGAGCGATTCGAGAAAACGCTCATTCGTTGTATTCGTCAAAGATTATTCTTCGTTGACACGTATGGCCGGTTATCAAACATTCACGTTGAAAACTCTCGCATTCAACCCCCGCCCACCCTCTGATAAAAATCGAATGCACGAGGAGCTGCCTCAAATGTATGTTATATTTATCGCGCGTCGTGTGCACACGCGCGATAGGATCGATTGAAACGAAGCTGCCGACCATCAAGTCGCGCGTATGGTACGTTACACAACATCGTCAACGCACCACCATGAGATCTAACAGCATCGAAAGGGTTGAAAAAACTACCCCGCTTCCCTTAAACGCCGAAGCCACGCCGATGCGGCCAGTCGCAATCGCGATCGATATTGGTTATTAATGCGCTCGGACGTTTGGCATTTGTGCATCACTCAGGACGAGTTTGGTGTACGTGTGTCTGCGCTCGCAACTAAAACCAAAAACAGAGACGGACAGCTAGACAACGAAATAAGAATGAAAAAAATAGAAATAGAGAGCTATATAGAATTACGTGTTTAGTATTTACGTGAAGAGAGAAAGAAATACACAGAGAGAGAGAGAGAGAGAGAGAGAGAGAGAGAGAGAGAGAGGGGAAGAGAGAAAGAGAGAGGTAAGAAACGAGCCGTAAAAGAAAAAAAAAACGCTAACGTACAACTAGAATTCGTGCCAGTTGGGAGAGAGTAGCGTGGAGGGCCAATATGCTAAATTTGTTCAACATGGACAACTTACATTTTGTTCTCATTTTTTTTCATTTTTCTTTCGTCAGCACGTCTATCGCATTTTTCCTATCTCTGATCTCATCATTTTTTGTCTTTTTTTTCTGTTTTCTTATTTTGCGTGTGTTTTATACGTTTCAGTCAACTTTTTGTCAGCGGGTATATATAGGGAGACACAGTTACGCATATGCATGTATATGTATGTATATATATATATATATATATGTATATATATGTATAATATATAAAGAAATGTAGAGATGACATCGAGTATGTACATACGGGCGAAAGTAACGGAGTTACTTAGAATAACGTAGAGTAAAAAACGGAGCAGAGTGTAGAGATCCAGAAAGGAGTCTCGTGTAGTCTCTCGTGAGATATACTCGTATTTCGGGACGGGTGAGAAGAATAAGGATGTAGTAAAACACAAGGAAAAAGAAGAATAGAAAAAGGAGGAGAAAAGTGGAAGGAGAAGAAATTAACTGGACGAGATGTAAAATAAGAAAGAAGCGAAGGAGTGTGAGAGCTGCGTGAAAGCATGAGAGGAACAAACAGTTTGAAAGAGTGAGCAAGAGAGCGGGACGTAGATGGATATACATTTATACATATATATGATCTTTCTCTAGCAGGGTAAATTACGTAAAGAAAGATCGAGTGCCACAGCCTCCGTGTATACATATAGTCGAGCTTCCCGCGAGAATCTCCTTAGTTTTCCCGCCGTTTCTCCTTTCCATTTATTTCTTGGCTTTGAGATCACTTTGAGGACGAATCTCGCTGTGAATTCGGGATAAATCTTTTCGAGAAGGTCCGGAATGGTGTCGAGTGGCAGCTTCGCGAAGAATTGAAAACTATATTGCATTTTTACACGTGTATCATTAGATTACGGAAATTAAATGTCATTTTCTAGAGAATACAGATGACGGTTTTTGGATCCTGGAGAAGATTTATCTGTTTTATCAGATGTTCCATCCATAGTTGTTTCAAAATTCATCATGTCGTGTAACAATCAGATCACAAGGCAAGATACGCACATAAGTGAGGAAAATATAAAAAAAAAAATACAAAATAAATGAACGACAAGGGAAGACTAAATTTAGCAGCGTTAACGTTTCACGCATGTACCACTCGGGAACGTTTCAAATTTGAAAACTCCCAAACTATGAACGTCTATAGTGACAAGTACTAATTGTAACATTCGATTAGACGTAGTAATATCCGAATTCTGTAATATCTGTTGACAAGTTGATCGTAAATCCGATTAAAAGTAAAATTATTGTAGTGAACACGCTCAGTGCATTCGATAGCATAATATGCTCGATATTAATATAAATTAAATTCGCCC